CGATTTGATTTTATATAACAAACGACAATTCTCAATTCACATATTACAATTTCCAAATGATGTACTCTGCCTTAAATCTGGCCAATTTTATGGATTATTAATTTGGATTTATGAATTGTAGAACCTGATGAGAAATTGAATGAAAAGAATATTCTTCGTTCATATAATTGTGTTTTAATTTACTATGAAACAAAGTATACATTTGTATACTTTAAAAGTCTAAAACGAAAGGTTTTTGGCTTTAAAAAAGAAAACATTTTAATTAATTTCTAGATCATACAATACACCCATTTCATTTAAGTGTAGTCAATGCATATTCATGTCTATTGTTAATAGTTTTAAAAAAATAGATAGTTATAATTCATATTGATTAAATCAGAATTGAATACTGAATTTCATCGGTTAACTCCACCTGAAGCCCCTCTTGAGCTACTGTCGTGTTAGGCATGGGGTTAGCGATTTCATCTCATAGAAAACTAACTGGTTAAAAATAAAACGCTAACCAGAAAAATTAATTCAAAAATTAAAAGTTCCGTTGGTTATAAACTAAGTTTATTGATATTTATTTGTTTATATTTAATTTCAAACCTATAGGAGTTGAGTTTATTCTCTATTCATGATAAAGTTTAATGTTTATTGGGTCTTTTCATAAATTAATTCAAGTAGACATTGTTTATCGTTAAGTTTTATTTCAGTAGTCAATATGGTGTCTCTTCATGAAAAATATTCTTGTTTAGTTATTATTCTTTTTCGATGTCTATTTTACCGTTTGTTACTTACGCTTATTAATTTCAAATGATTAGATAGTAATTAAAGAGAAAGTATGTCTTTGTAAAATCTCAGTGATTGAATTTGAAGTAAATCCAATGTTTTGCCTGGCAATTTGGTTTAAGCTTTTTTTTAAAGGGAAATTATCGAAGAAAATGTACAACTGGTATAACCACCAAATTTTCGATTAGACTGTAACTTAATCTTTGTAATACTGATTTGAATGGATATAAATTCCACTCTTGATAAATGTGAAACAATGTCACTGCATACACCTGGATTAGATTGATGGAAATATAAATTAAATAATGATAATAATAGTTATTGTAAACAAATAACTTTAAAGGCCTCTACATAGTATTCACAATTTGTAAGGAATGGTGCTAATGCACTATGGAGATTAAAAATTATAGTATCTATCTATCTGTCTACCTATGCATAATATATTGTAAATAGTTTAGTATATTAGGATTATTGTGTGTAATTAATATCACCGTGATTTAATGAATAGTTCAGAACGAGAGAAAAAAACCCATATTTAACTGTAAGCGAATTGAAATAAGTAACATGAGTAGTATTTAAAGTGTAATTCAAACATTGCTGTACTGCAAAATTAATCTACAGTCTTATTCAATTATTCCATATTATTATATTAATAGTGGTATGATTGTAATTGAGTGATTATGAATAGACCCTCGATATTGTTACCCTTGATAAAGTAATTTAATCAACCTATGTTGGATCACTTATATATATAGTCTAATTAAACTTGTAATCATTATTATTTTAAAAGATTGTAATTCCAAGAAATGTTTCAGCATTACTTTGAAACTAAATTAACAATTGAGTTTAAGCACCATATATAGGTGGTCGACATCGATTTATTTCTACAGACTTTAATTTTTGTTTTTGAGTGTCATCAAGTGGTCGACTTGCGTATATATACACACCCTTTCAAGGTAAGTTACTGATTTTCTATTTCAGTATGCTTATACTTATATAATGTTAAAACTAATAGTTGATTACTTGGAATGATTTATTTAGTTGTTCAGTTATAAATTCATTTACTTTAGTAGTTAATAATATTCAATATATTATGATGCACAATCTATTTATCATCTGGTTACTATGACTACAAATTATAAACAGGAGACACTAGATTGTTTGAACTTACCCATGACAAAAATAGTTATAATGTCTTCATGTAGAAATTGCAGGAGACGGTTAATAATTTTATTAAGTACATATTAATGATATTCTTATACATAAAGACTTCAGAATTTCGAATATAATAAACTAAACATATATGAAAGATCTTTACTTGGTCAATCAAATGTTTAGCAACGTATGAATATAGAAAAACAGTTTTTTTAAATATAGAAAAGTAAATTTCAAAATATATCATTCCTAAATAAACAAATCTCATTATTTATGAACTTCAAGGATTCAAATATAGAAACCTTTTGGCGATCTTGTTTTGACAAATAGATATTTTCCATGTTATTTTCTGATTGATTATTTGAGTAGAAACTTAAATAACTTAAGTAGATATTATCACTCTTGTTTAAATCCGATGGTTTCAAACTGATATTTTATGCAGAATAAGAGTAAATTAGTCTGGATACTATGAAAGTTAATCATTTATTTGTAAATATTGATTGGCAGAGTTAATCACCAATTATCTATATAGGGTTGTGGGAATTCTTGAGATTTTATTGAGAACATAAACTGATCAATATTAGACCATCATTGAAAACCTAGAAACATTGAGCTATCATTTCGATCTAGTATAGGACTCCTCGGCAGTGTGCATCCACGATTCTAAAAACCGAAGGTCTTGGATTCGATTCAGGCATGCATGATTCTTGATAAAAGATCATATGACATGGTTAGTCTATGTCGCCTAAAAGAAGTTAGAGAAACAATCAATTCACCTGAAGTTGAAAAGGGCTCCGAATTATCGTTTATGAATTTTTGTATACAATAAAAGTGTTGCGTACGACTATATTAAAAGGATTCCAGTTGTTACGTAAATAGGTCTGTTCATAGCCTGTTCATTTCTACCTAGAATCAATTTTCGAATTCATGAAATAATCAAAACATTTTAGTGTTTCGGTATTGAACTTAATTTTCTGTAATTCTAGGAAAAAAAGTGCCAATTGAGTCACTGAAAGATTGGCGATCTTTATAAGTTATCTTACAGAAATATAGTGTTTTAAGTTATTGAAAAACTTCATGAAGCTTACTAATAGTTGCATTTATGTTTCTTTTCAGTTATTAATCTATTATTTTCCCAATAAATACTGTTTATAGAAGAAATTAGTTTATTGTATTTTCATTCAATACACTTTATACTTAAACGTTTAACGATGAACTAATTTTCATCTAATAACTACTTTTAATTATTACTAGAACTAGTGAATTATTTTCATTTTAAACATTCCCTCAAATGCCCTGTTACGACTGAGAGTGGGGAGAGTATGCTCTCTTTCTCGAAATGCTCTCACATGGCCACGTGTATACAGCCACTTTCAAGGAAGTTCTACTCACTGTCTTCTCGTGGAAGGGTTGTTGTTGACGAAATTGAGAGGGATGAAATGCGAATTTCCGGCGCTTTAACCGGGTTAACGGATATTGAGGGTCCACCTAGGGGAGTTGAAAAACGCTGATTCCGAACCGATAGTGCACATGGGCTCCAGTATCCTAAAGGAAAAAGTAGAGTATGAACCAATTATTGGTCATCGGCTAACATGGGACTGCATCTCCTCACGTTGCCCCACTCTCTTGTGAGTGAGACCTTTAGGTCAAATACTCCGGATGCGGCCCCTAAGAGAACCACCTGCTTCGGTTTGAGCATCAGGGCAGTATCATAACCTACACAGAAATCAAATGATTTATGTGGCGCATATGTATTCGGTGCCTCTTTGTACCAATATTTATATACTGAAATAAATAAGTAATAAAAATAACTTAAATATTATCCTTTCTTTTAGTCCAATGGTCGGTAGAATTTCACTTACTAAAACATATTCAGTAATACATTTTCTGTATGATTTAATGAACAAATATATATGAATCCATGGAAATAGAGCATACTTCCTTTTTCTAATAACACAATACAGATTTTATGATAGATTAATATAATTTAGAGAATCATTGGAAATCTGAGAGTATTGTAGTGAATGAGAAGACAAGTGGGGACAATCGAATATACTTCAACAGAAAATTACAGTATGTGTTAGTAAAATCTGAGAACGACAGAGTAAAATATTTCATTTGCAAAATGTCAATCAATCGTCTGAGAATTGATTGTTTCTTCATTTCCACATCAATCATTGTCTGCTCTCCTTGTGTTTTCTTTGATATTGATAAGTTTCTACCTCCAGGCATGTGACTTTCGATTGATGATATATGCTAGTTATATCTATTGACATCAGTAGCACATACCACAGTATTAATTAGCTCTTTCTAATTATCCAAATTTAAACTATATAAACAGTGTACAATGAATATTGCATTAGAGATTATGAAGCTTCAATATTAGTAATATATTCTTAAACATATATTCAAAAATTCAATCACTTTCATCCCATACTTCCAGGCAATTTGCATTACATGAGATTATTTCAAATATCTTTCATTTTTTAATTTCTTCTTCATCCAATACTTCTAGATTATCCATGATGGTCTAGCTTCAATTGATTCATGAATTCAATTATCAAAATCACAATGAAGTTTATTGAATAGAGAAGAGTACTTTTTTCTTTCTCTTTTTTTTCTCTCTCTTTCACTCATTGAAACAAAATTTATTCTACATATTAAACATTTACATTAATGATTCATTTAACTAACGAAAAAAACACAAAAGATTAATTGAAGTTATTACTACTATTAATAATGATAATTTATATGGTTATTTAAGCTTAATTTAATTATTTAATTAAATTAACTTTATATAAATTATATATTCATATATGAAATTGATTTAAGTAGTTTAAATATATCATTTAAGTAGTTTATCAATTTGATCATGTGAATGCATTGAACTATAAACATTCTTCTTTTCTTTCTATCATTCTTTTTTTCTTTTCTTTTCTTGTTTTGCTAATTAATTCATTGTTTTATTTATATTTATAGACTAAATGTTCCATTAATAAAATAATTAATTAATATTTAAATTTATAACGAAACGATTAAAAAAAACAATATCAAAGGTCAACATCAAATAGAAAATGTCTACTGGTTATATACTACTGACAGTAAGTTCATTTTGTTATTTAGTAATAAATGTTTTTTTAAAAAGTTTAATTAATTTTTAATAGTTTGCATTGAAAATATTTAAACATTTTACTTTAGTTAAATATTTCATTAATTATCTATCTGTTCAATATAAAGCTTATTTGGTTTTATTTCATGTTAAACTTCACTTTTTACATTCTCTCGTTTGTTTCTTATAACTAAGAAATTAATCTAAAATAATTATCAAAATGGGTTTTGTGGAGATTTTTAGAAATTTTACTGGCGCAACTTCGTGGATTGGTTGAAGTTAGACATTAACACCGTTGAATGCTGGCTCAGTGATCTAGTTGGTTGAGCGCCAGGCGCGAGACTGAAAGGTCCTGGATTCGAATCTCGCGGCGGGCGGGATCGTGGATGCGCACTGCTGAGGAGTCTAATTTAAAATAAGCTTTCTTTATAAGGTAAAATCTTAGATATGTCAATAAATGAAACTTGATTCTGACTGAGTTTGATCTTGAAAGCTTATAGAATTAAACAGTATGATTCAAAGAACTCGATTCTATACGAATCGTTTTTCTAAGCTGAAAATTCTCAGGATTTTTAAAAATTTTACTAAGTAGATTAAATGTTTCATGCTCATTAAAAGACTTGAAAACCATTGGTTATATCCTATATGATATGGTTAGTACTCACTGTCTAGGCGAAGACGAGTATTCAATGGGTACTGGTTTTTGTTATCATCAAGCCGACTATAGTTTTTAACAAAAAGTACTTTTGAATTCAACAATTCTTAAATGTATCTTAAGATAGATTACATTTCAGAGAACTAATTCAATTATTCCCTAATGATATTTGTTAAATTGTTTATAAAATAAACAATCCAATTTCAGACATTGAATTGTTTGTAATCAAATAAAATATTTAGTAACATAATCAGTTATTTCAATAGTTACTTTTGTTTAAATTACAAGTAACAAAAAAGAGATCCACTGGAGTTGATAGAAAATCCATAAGTCATTTAGGTGTTTTGGTAAGTAGTACATAATTAAGTTACTTGAAGTAATTATAGTGATTAATAATAAATATATTTTTGTTATATCTCAATGAGCAGGAAAATTGTAGTGTTTCTTGACTTAATGTAAGCTACTTCTTTAGAGTGACTGAGTGTCGTATTATATATTTGTTCTAAAGAAGTAGCTTACATAAAATTATGAAATATCAGAAATACAATTTTTCGATTCATTGAGATATAACAAAAATACATTCATTATTAACTCTCTTATTTATTTATTTATTTATTTGGACACATGAATATTGGTACAGGAGAGCGCCAATATATATGCGCCACACAAAACAATAAAAATTCGAGAGGAATACAAAGAAAGAAAAAAAAAAAGCTAAGGAGCGTAACAAAAAAAGAGAGAACAATAACGAAGAGACTGGTGTAAGGTAATGTGCTAGTAATCAGGGAACGCAAAGGTACAATCGGAAGAAATCTTTCAGTTAAGGAAGAAACAACCACTTTTTATGAAGAAAGTAAAAGAAGGTTACAGCAGGATCGCCACTAGCTTCTATTCTGAGCCATATCTGATAACGTCTCTAGCCACTGTGTAGCACCATCTCTCGGACCCCAACCAGAAAGTCGTGAAGGACCAACAGAAGCCAGTCCTTTGCAGCTTTCTTTCATGCCACGACACCATGTCACCCACTGACCACCTCTCCGCTTCTTCCAACCAGTCCCAGAGTCGGCAAATAATGCACGACGTGGAATTCTCTGGGACGACATTCGTTGTACATGTCCAAGCCACCGAAGTCGGTGTTTCAAGATGGTGACACTGATTGCCTTATCATCTCTGTGCCCGAACACACGATGCCGAACCTCTGCATTACTGACATGGTGTTGCCACTGAATGTCAGCAAACCTTCGGAGACAGCGATGATCGAACACAGAGAGTCGTCTAACGTCCTCGACTCGGAGAGGCCAGGTTTCACAAGCATAGAGCAAAACTGCTCTCACCGACGCGTTGTAGATCCGACCTTTTACAGCCAGACCAACATCACGAAGGCGCCATAGATGGCCCAGATTGGCATAAGCCGCTCTGGCTTTCACTATTCGTGCATTGATCTCATCACTCACATCTCCACCAGCACTTATGCAGCTACCCAGATACACGAACTTCTCGACTACTTCTATCTGCTCACCATCCAGGGTGAGTACAGGATTAGAATCCTGCCAGTCTTGTAGAAGTACTTTGCACTTCGAAGGTGCAAAGCACATACCATACCTACGGACACTGATTGCCAACTGATTAACTGCGGACTGCATGCCTTGGGCATTATCGCACAGTAAGACAATATCGTCCGCATACTCAAGGTCGAGAAGTCTTTCTCCAGGCAACAGATCCACACCACCATTACTTACACCCATCAGAGCTGTTTCCAGAATGTCATCGATGGCAAAGTTGAAGAGGAATGGTGAGATTGGGCAACCCTGCCTAATCCCACTGCTCGAATGGAACAATGGAGAGAGGTGGTTGTATGCCCTCACTCTGCCTGAGGTGTTTGTATATAGGGCTTTTAGGATGTTAATAAACTTCTCAGACACACCCTTCTTCAATAGACAATCCCAGAGAACAGTCCCATCCAACGAATCGAAGGCAGCCCTGATGTCAAGAAACACTACGATTGTTGGCCTTTGATAAGTATGGCGGTGTTCTAACATTTGGCGGAGGGTGAAGATATGATCAATACATCCTCGACCAGAACGAAAACCGGCCCACTCCTTGCGAGTCAATCTTTCTCGGATTTTGAACAACCTACGAAGTATGACGGAAGCCAATAGCTTGGACACAATCGGAAGTAGACTTATCCCCCAATAGTTGCTGCAGAAACGACGTGAACCCTTTTTAAAGATAGGGACAACTATCGACTCATTCCATGACGTTGGTACACTCTCTAGCTCCTAGACCTTTGTAAACAACACAGTCAGTCCCTTAGTCAGAAAGTCACCACCATCTTTAAAAAGAGTCGGAGGTAAGTCATCTGGGCCAGGTGATTTGTAGCGCTTCAAGAGTTGGAGTTCCTTGCGGACTTCTGTCTCATTTGGTGGATCAGTCGTCACCGGGCATGGAGGGCAGGACAGTCTGACCGATGTTGCCGGAGCAGCAGGCCAGTTGAACTGCCCTTCGAAAAATTCTGCCCATCGTCCAAGACGTCGATGGATGTTAGTGATTGGCATCCCATCATCCTCGTAGATTGTTTCGCTCACACCAGACTTCTTGCTGCCAGTGGCTCGGATGAGTTGGAAGAGCTTCCGGTAGTTACCAGATGCAGCTGCTGCTTCCAGCTCATTAGCACGCTTCGACCACCAGGCTTCTCGGTCCTTACGCAAGCTTTGCCCGATTTCCTTACATAACATCCTTCGTTTATGGTCAAACTCACGGTCACCCGGAGTAGACCGACGGGCTTCAATGAGTTGTAAGGAACCAGAAGAAACCCAGTGCTTAAAAGCGGGACGTTTCGCAAACCCACAACTGACTGTTCCCGCCATTTTTATGGCGTCATGCAATTGCAACCAATGCTCATCTATACTTTTCGGTGGAGTGGTAGCTAGCCTAGAGGCTAGCTCGGTTCGATACTTATTTGCAACAGAAGTTGCAACCAGCTTGCTAACATCAATCTTTTGGTGGTGGTCACTTCGTTGGCCACTGAAAAGTAAGGCAAGATTTGCGCAGACCAAGGCATGGTCAGAGTCCAGATAGGTACTCCAAAAGGAGCGGCAGTCTTGTACACAACCACGCCAGCGGTAGCTGATCGCGATGTGATCAATCTGAGTCCAGGCTTGGGATGCAGTGGGACCAACGAGTCCCCATCGGCCACCTAAACGACTCTCTTCTGTGCCTAGACGCCCGACCTGAGCATTCAAGTCTCCGGCTAGTACTACAATATCTGTCGAACGCACTTTCTGGAGAAGAACAGATAATTGGTGGTAAAACTCATCCTTGATTGCATCCGGGCTGCAATCTGTCGGGGCATAGGCGGAGATGACGAAAAGACATCGTTTCTCACGCCGATTTATTCTCACTTTGATGGAACTTTCTAATCTAACAGCACATAACCGACTGTTAATGAGGATCCAATCGACTAGTGCTGCCTCAGCTCTAGCGCTTAGTGCGACACCAACGCCTGCAAGACCAGACGAAGATGCCACAGGGTCCCCGGATAAGCGCACGTAAAACAAGCTTTTTGAAGTGACAGATGTAGAGCGAATTTGTAGTACTTCGCTAGAGTCTTGAATACGGGTCTCGGATAGACAACAAACATCAATATTAAGACTTTCCAAAGACATAGCCAGCCCTATCTGTTGACCAACCTGCATAAGTGTGCGAACGTTGAAGGCAGCCAGTTTGAATGGTGTACGTGGTTTCAGAAAAACTGCTTCAGTACTCAAATTCGATGGTAACATACAACTTTCAACCGGACAGTGACTCGAGAACGTTTAGATACAGTCGGATTTCCACCAAAGCCGAGCCGCTGTATAAGTATGAAAGAGGGTGAATAATGTGGGAAATAATAATAATAATAATAATAATAATAATAATAATAACGACAATAATAGTAATAATAATAGTATTAATAATGACAATAATAGTAATGATAATTATTTGAATCGACTGATTGTTTTTGTTTTTCGGAGCGATAAAAGTAGTTGCCAAAGACATGGAGTTCATCGTTTGTGTGTGGGCTGTGATACTGCCCGGGTGCCCAAACCGAAGCAGGTGGTTTTCTTAGGGGGCGACACCCCGAGCCTTTGACCTAAAGGTCTAACCCACAAGGCAGTGGAGCATCGTAAGGAGATGCAATCACATGGTAGCCGGTGACCAAAGATTGGTTCATACGCCATTTGTTCCCGCAGGATACTGGAGCCCATGTGCACCATTGGTTTGTGATCCGGTTAAAGCGCCGGACATTCGCTTATCGTCCTCTCATTTTTGTAAACAACACCCCCGCCACGAGAAGG